AAAAATTGCAAAATGTTTGGTAATCCAACGTGTTTGTTGGCCAAGATTGAAATGGGAGGACAGTTGCATTGCATGTTGTTTTTTTTTTCATTTATCGGGCAACCGTTATAATTGTCTTACTGTATAATTATATCTATATACATGTACTTACAATACTTAGAAACATTAATAGAAATGATAGGAAGTGTCAACTATGCCAGTGTAATGATATTGTAGATGAATTTCATTTTGCATTAATTTCTTCAGCTTACATTAAGGACACAAGGTATTCCAAGATATTATTATTATCGCCCATGTATGTTAAAGCAGCACGCCTCAAGATTCATGTTGATTTTCAAGAAAATTTTGGAAATGCATTAAAAAGTAAAATATTGTGAAGTGGACAAATAAAGTAATTTATATATTGCGATCGGCGCTAACAATCTACGAAATTTACCAAAAAGTGGTCATCATATGCAAAAACGGACATCACTGCGTTAATAACGCAGTAGAAATATGATGATAAAATACTAAAAATCAGTCTTAAACAGCACGTACATTCTTAATATAACTTTGATCTTGAATTTTTTACCTTTCTTAAAATTTTAATACATTTATGTCAATATTTATTTTCTTGAAATATTTTGGCTCATCTGGAGGAGTGCAGCTTTAAAATTAACTGAATTTTCAAGCGTAAATATTTTTTTTTTAAATTAGCCAATTATTGTAAAAAAGCATTTGTTTTTCTAAAGAAGTCATTAAATCTTTAAAAGGGACATAAAAACTGACTGATGAAATAGAGTTTATTTGGATACAAAGCGGCCTTAATAGAGCAATAATCTTAGTATCAAGTTTTCGAAAAGAAAATTAAAGAAAGAAAAAAAACCAACAAAATAACAACAATTTACCTCTCTCTCGAAAAAACCTTATACCTCCAACCATAATCTTTATTTAACAAAAGGTATTGCTTTTCAGAGGTTGCAATCCATTTCATTATTACGAAAACATGTTTGTCTTATGTTAAATATAGTTCATATGATATTCTTTGATTAACATATTAACAGATTGCTAATCTAACATGCTGGTTCCTGGCACTGGCGCTCTGCTGTGTATGTGTGTACACCCCGTACTCCAAGGGAGACTCGCACGTCTTCACACCACGAGAATCCGCGGCCTTCTTTGCTCTACATAGAACCGGTTGGGCGGTCGCCGTGTGCTGGATTGTATTCGCATGTTCTACTGGACATGGAGGTACTCTTATAACCTTGAACAACCTATATATGTTTAAAGGCCCATTATGCCCCAGAAATGCTATCATTTTTATTTCAGAAAAACTTTTAAGTTTTTGGTATCGTGTCACAGTTTTGCAAAAAAATATTCATTTGCCATATAGATGAACTATCTTTGTTTCTTTTGTTTTCTTTGCATTTGATATAATTATAGTGAATCAGTATTTTTTGTATCGAAGTCAAAATACTTCTTATTTACTTATTGCTACCTTTATGACACATTACTGCATATTCAGAGCTAATTTCTTTAGCTGCCAAACATCTAGCATACTCTAAATCCATTATTTAAGCATTATCAAACACATGTTTGACATTTCTAAAGAATTACGGGAATCGAATCCGGGTCGGCCGATTCACAGTCCAACGCTCTACTTATTGAGCTAACCGGATGGAATTTGGTTAACCCAGGCCTCGACACTAACTTTTTTAGCAGGTGGTTAGCAGGACCACTAGATTTGAAATTAAGGTGGTCCTTCCAGGAGTCAGGTGGTCAATTATTATTATATCATTTAACTGAAAATTTAGAAAAATATATGTTTAAAATTGATGACAAAGATGTATCATTAACCTTAAGAAAACAGATATTTTAGATATATATTTTTATCTAATCAGAAATAAAGGAGAGCAAGTTAGTAGGTTTTTTATCATAAAGTTATTTGGTTTTTTATATGTCATTCAAAAATACACAACAGGGCTCTTATTTATGTTCTTTAATTATGATAATTACATGTATCTTTTATAGATTAACATTTTTAATAAAACTAATAAATTATCTTAAAAACAAGGAAATAGCTAGAGGATAAAAATAATAAAACTAATGTTATATATAACTATAGTTAAGCTTATTTTTCTCACAGATGTATAATACCTAATTTTTACCTCCCTGTTGCTTGTTGGTTGATGTTTATTTTTAACATGAGTATTTTTAACCTTTTAAAGTAATTTTAACTCTAGAGGAAATGGATCTCTATCGTTAAACAGTTAAAATAAAGATAATAAGTAGGAAAGAATTACTAGATGTATTTTTCCAGTTCCTTTTGTTTGCTGCCATTATTTAAGTATATGAACTTTTAAGTTTATCTTATATCCATACAATATCATAATTACCATCGTCGGATGCCCACGGTTAATTAACATGTAATACAACGTAAATGTTACTTGTTCCACCGTAGGTATCCGACGATACATAATCATTAGCATCATTTGAATGAATTTTGTACCTTAATTGATATCACAAAGTCTAAACTCTTTTAACTTGCATAAACCAAATTTTTAGCGACTTAAAATGAAAGTTATAGATGACTTAAGAACTTCTTTGACTAATCAGATAATTAATGAACCATATACATGTACATCGGACAAATGATTTTAAAGAAAATGTTTACAACATGTTTTTGACCAAATCACCATTCTCCCAAATGAGTCTGCACCAACCAGAAAATTCAAGTGGTCCGACGGACCAGCGGCTTTTAAAATTAGGTGGTCCTTGCCAAAATCAGGTGGTCTCGGACCAACGGACCACCGCTAATGTCGAGGCCTGGTTAACCTATACAGAAAATTTGCTTATTTATACAAAAACAGGTTGGGTAAATGAAGTGCTGTCGTGGAAAGCGTTTGTTCCACTCGGAAGATTGACTTACAGCGCCTATCTCATCCACCCACTAGTTATGATTGTATTCTATATGAGCAGGAACACACCTACATACTTCTCTATCTATGAAGTGGTCAGTATTATTATATTGCTTGTACTGTTTTTGTTGTTGTTGTTTTTATGACACTTTATTTCTATTTTTTTAACATTTTTGTTTTTATTGTAAATATAATTTATTTAAGGAACAAGATACAATTTTAATTTGAAATTTTTTACACTCATGTGTTTCATTCTTGAAAAATAATTTTATCATCATTATCATCATCATCATCGTCGTCGTCATTTATTATTTATATATGTATTTTATTATTATTATTATTATTATTATTATTATTAATTATCATTATTTTTATTATTATGATTATTATCATCATCATCATCATCATCATCATTATTATTATTATTATTATATATAATGATGATGATGATGATGATGATGATGATGATGATGATAATAATAATTATTATTATATCATTATAGAGAGGTTTAATACTCTAAGTCTTTATTTCGGCTTTTCAACGATTACAACACATACAAAATGAAATATATATACACTAACAAACGATTTAACATAAAATTATGATACATGATCATGACAAATGTGCATTTATATATCGTTCAACAGACACATATAATAATAAAGTTAAATAGTTTCACATATAAACTTCTATAATGATTATATTAACATTATATCAGAAATTATCTTATAGCAATAAGTATTTAAATGAAACAACATGAAAAATCATAATATGAGCCGCGTCATGACAAAACCAACATAGTGCGTTTGCGACCAGCATGGATCCAGACCAGCCTGCGCATCCGCGCAGTCTGATCAGGATCCATGCTGTTCGCTATCAGTTTTCTCTACTTGTAATAGAGTTTGGTAACGAACAGCATGGATCCTGATCAGACTGCGCGGATGCGCAGGCTGGTCTGGATCCATGCTGGTCGCAAACCCACTATGTTGGTTTTGTCGTAACGCGGCTCATTTAAGGTTAAGATGCCTCAGTATTTGACCTTGTATCACACATCTTACGGAAACGAAAATTAGGCTATGTAAATTAGGCAATACATAGTACATTAACTATTTTGAACAATTTTTAACTTTACATTTAAATGCCACTATAAAAATTTGTTGAAATCTGCACAAAATCCACAAAATTCACGTTAAAATATTGACAAATTGTAGTTTAAATTCTTGTGAAAATGTTCAGAGTACATAGTTGTGACATTTTAAATAAAATGCACGAAATTCACGTGGAAATTTCTATAGTTTGCAGTTTTTGACATTTTACTAAAAATGCACGAATATCACGTACAATTCATCCTGTCAAAGTCTATGTACATACATGTATATTTCGTCCATAATTAATGTGAGATAAAACATATAGCGTTATATTGGTTATATATCATGGTTATATATTATTTGTCTTCTATTGCAGATATATCTGTTTTTGGGACATTTGTGTTTATCTTATGGGATAGGATTCGTCGTGTCTCTGGTGTTCGAATCCCCGATGATGGGCCTTGAAAAGACCATTTTCAAACGAGGACGAAAATAAAATATCTACCATTGCATTACATATAGACTAAGGAACAGATTGAAACATCTGGAAAAAGGTTATCCCTCGGAAGCATCAAAAACAGCAAAATTACATGACAATCGCAGTCTAGGTTTTATTGATTCTGTACATTGGAGGGGGAAATTAAAAGTGCAAAAATCCCTCACGCCCCCTAGCACCGGCTTGAGCGGTGCACAATTTTGAACAAGCAAGTCAAACCTAAACTACTTTCATCAAAAAGTCGGTACTTTTTGTTGTTTTTGTTTTTGACCTTTTTTTACAAAAATAAGACACGTGATAAAGATTATCAAATACAAAAGCCGTTGTTTTTTGTCTTTTTTGTTGTTTTGTTTTTACAGCATTCCACAATTAACATTTTTGAGATTTATTTTTATTTTTACCACATATCTTTGTTAAGCATCTGGAAAAGTAAACTGTTGCGTGAGGGTGTACGTGTGTATGCGTTGTTTATTTAATTGCATAGAGAAGTTTTGTTTTGCTATTTTATGGAAAATATTACCCTTCTGTCTATGTAAAACATTTTATATAACCAAAAAGGAAATAAAAGCCTCTTTGTCTACATTTTTTCTCTTCATTTCTTTTGTTTTCTTTAAAAATATTTTCTTTAGAAATGAAATTAACTACATAATGTTTAACAACATTTTACAATTTGTCCTTGAAGGCAACAAACAAACAAATTTCGCTGACGTTAACTAATTATTTTTTCTTCAAGGCCCATTATACCTCAGCAATATTATAAATTGAGCCGCGTCATGACAAAACCAACATAATGGGTTTGCGACCAGCATGGATCCAGACCAGCCTGCGCATCCGCGCAGTCTGATCAGGGTCCATGCTGTTCGCTTACCAACCCTATTTTAAGTAGAGTAACTGATAGCGAACAGCATGGATCCTGATCAGACTGCGCGGATGCGCAGGCTGGTCTGGATCCATGCTGGTCGCAAACCCATTATGTTGGTTTTGTCGTGACGCGGCTCATTTTATTTCTCAAAAACTGTTTATTTTTTAATATCTTGTTACTTTTTCCAAAGAGATACTCATTTGCTGTATACATGAACTATTTTTGCATCTTTAATGAATATAAGTATTTTGTATGGAAGTCAAAATACTACTTTGTTTACATTTTGCTATCTTTGCACACATAACTGCATGTTCAGGTTGTAAAATAACATGCACTTAAACCATTATTTAAACATTATTAAGCACATGTTTGACATTTCTAAAGAATTAAACAAATATGGATTTCTGACGCATAATGTGCCTTTAAAATGGAGGATATATCTATGAATAAACACACATAAAGTTTACATTTATCTATTGCAATATTTTATAAAGCTTCAAAACAAATGTATGTAAGTGGCAAAAATAAGAAAACGTCAAAGATTAGAATATAAAAACAGACAACATGACAAATACAGCTGTAAGTCGCTGACTGTGAAACATATGGAAAGGCAACCTGGTCATAGCGGAACTTGCTTTGAAAAAGATAAGGGATATTTCGATAAAGAAATGATGTTTACAAAATTATCCATTATGCAAGTGTATGCTACATTATGCACATGTAAAATGTTATATTATAGCAATAAATGTACTACATGTGATATTTGTAACTAGGCATTTTTAAGACAAATTTAATTGTTCTTTAATTGTTCTTCCATACACAGAGTGGATCTTCATATATAAGGAGGCAGTTTCACGAGCGACATTATAAGTGACGTATAGCTGTTACATCGAAGATCTTCCTCCCCCTACTAATCAGTTGGCATGTAATTTGAAGGTGCAATTTGCATCAACATTTGAATATACATTGTCAATGTGTCTGAAAATATAAAATATAATCAATACATATACAAGATAATAAAAACGGTAAGGAGAGAAGGACCATCGTAATAATCATCGTAAACTTTAACGTCAGCTTTACAAAATAAGAAATATCATGATAGAGCGAAGTTATGATGTTTATATTCTTGTAACAAAATAAAACACTCTTTTATGTCTCTACAATGTCATTTTAATGTATCAGAGTACAAGTCGAGGAAGGTTATCTGCACGACTCATTTGGAGAATTTCGGTCAATTTATGTCTATGATTTGGAAGACAATACAGGATTCGAGAATAATCTAAAATGACAAGAGGGCCAAAATGCCCCTATATCGCTCACCTGAACCATCGAACTCATCCGAACAATTACCTAGACAAGCATTCTGACCAAGTTTCATGACAGTTGAGTCAAAAATGTGACCACTGGAGTGTTAACAAGGTTTTTCAATATTTTGGCGGTATGACCTTGTTTTTGACCCGACGTGACCCATATTCAAACTTGACCTAGAAATCATCAATACAAACTTTCAGGATATTTGGATCAAAACAGTAGCCACTAGTGTTAACAATATTTTTCTATTTTAGCTCCTGTGACCTAGTTTTTCATCCGAGATGACCCATGTTCTAATTTATCCGAGCAATTACCTAGACAAGCACCCTGACCAAGTTTGATGACATTTGAGTCAAAATGTGACATCTCGTGTGCTTAATCAAGGTTTTTCTATATTTGGGCAGTGTGACCTAGTTTTGACCCCAGTTGACCCATATGCAAATTTGATCTAGAAATCATCAAAATAATCTTTCAGACAAATTTCCAGGATATGTGGATCAAAACAGTAGCCACTACAGTGTTAACAAGGTTTTCCTATTTTTGGCTCCTGTGACCTAGTTTTTTCATCCGAGATGACCCATGTTCAAACCTATCCGAGCAATTACCTAGACAAGCATCCTTGCCAAGTTTGATGACAATTGAGTCAAAAATGTGACCACTACAGTGTTAAAAAGGTTGTTTTCATATTTAGGCGTTGTGACCTAGTTTTTGACCCCAGGTGAACCCTATTCGAACTTGACCTAAATATAATCAAAACAAACTGTCAGACCAAAACAGTTGCCACTAGAGTGTTCACATGATTTTTCTATTTTTAGCTCCTGTGATCTAGTATTTCATCCAAGATGACCCATGTTCGAACTCATCTGAGCAATTTCCTACAAGTTTATGATAATTGAGTAAAACATGTGACCACCAGAATGTTAACAAGGTTTTTCCATATTTGGGCGGTGTGACCTAGTTTCTAACCCCAGGTGACCCATATTACAATTTTACCTAGAAATCATCAAAACAAACTTTCAGACCAATTTCCAGGATATTTCAATCAAAACAGTAGCCACTATAGTGTTAACAAGATTTTTCTATTTTTAGCTCCTGTGACCTAGATTTTCATCCAAGATGACCCATGTTCGAACTCATGTTCGAACTCATCCAAGCAATCACCTAGGCAAGCATCCTGACCGAGTTTGATGACAATTGAGTAAAAAATGTGACCACTAGAGTGTTAATAAGGTTTTTCTATTTTTAGCTCCTGTGAGCTAGTTTTTCATCCGAGATGATCCCTGTTTGAACTCATTTGAGCACTTACCTAGACAAGCATGATTGAGTCAAAAAAGTAACCACTAGAGTGTTAACAAGTTTTTTTCTATTTTTTCCAATGACGTAATGACCAATGTCCGAAGTCATCCGAGCTATTACCTAGACAAGCATCTTGACAAAGTTTGATGATGATTGAGGTAAAACTGTGACCGCTAGAGTGTTAACGAACAAGTGTTGACGGACGACGGACATTCAACGATCCTAAAAGCTCAGCTGAGCTAACAAGTGAATCTAACAATGTATGAGGGTTGTACAAAAATACAACGGCTTTTCTTGTTACTTCAATATTTCTAATGTACGAGTACATACGCGAAAATATGCAATTTGGTGGTTATGTACTTTATTGTACATGAACTGCGTTGCCATAAAACACATTCTTGCAACCCGATTGGACAGCGGTAATTCGGATAAGCAAAGGGATTCTCATATATGCAAACCTTTGGTTTACTGAAGGAGAATGCCGTCTTTGTTTGTAAAGACTGAGGTCAAACATACTAAACACTTACCAATTTTGATGAGCTTAAAATAAACCAGAGGAAAATAGAAAATCAGTCCACCAACGACGAATATTGCAGCATATAAAAACTGGATCTGTGGATCTTCAACAATAGGTGCTATAACTAGGTATATCGCACATAGCAGGAACAAGATCGGGATTACAATAGGTAGCTGAAATATATATCAATATATACGGTCATATTTAAAATTTAAATACTAAAATACATCGCAAATTTTCCATTTCATTTTTTATTCAATTGTATTCTTTGGACATAAAAATATTCCATCATCAGGAACCGGAAGCATTGTCTAATCAAAGCACTGAATGTACTGATGGGGAGGCTATGACAGAATGTTTCAGACTTATAGTTTCTTTTCTTTTTGCTTAAAATGTGCTGTTATTTCAATTATTACCAAAATAAGAAGATTGCACATTGCGCCATTTATCCTTACTGTTGTGTTCAACCATTCATATATATGGTTAATATAGTTGACTATTCATTTTGTTAATATTCCAGAACATTACATTGAGGTCTACATTCGGACCGTTAATCATGCAAATTTTGAAAAACCTAAACCACTGTCAATAATAAATGACATACCAGCAAGTATGACGACTGTTCATTATAAGATAACAATACATTTTACAACTGACGGTTCCTTATCAAAATAATATAGGACTGTTCATCATAAATACTTTATGTCATTTTAATATTATTGAATGATAATAACAACTGCAAGTTATGCAACATTTTTATTGAACATAAAAATTATAAATATTTACATGTACAATAATTGAGATCAATAAGATACTGTCTTGTGATGAGTATTAATATTTATGCTCTACGGACAGAAAGTTTGTCTTCTCCGAAGCAAATTTCGAATAAAATCACGTTTCAGAAAATTATTCCCATTTCATTACTCGTCGCTGACTTTGAGGGCTTCGATAATATTAAAGCTAAATATTTCTTGAAAAAATACATATTTGCAAAGCTTATTCAAAATTGCATCAAACCTAAGTGAAAATTGATAAGGAAGTTATATCTTCTTTTTTTACCGCCAACACTCAACCAACTTATGGTAGTTAATAAATAGATTCTACATGTATTTTTAAACCTCACTAGCTTGAAATATATACTGCGGAAAATCTGTTGTTAAGAGGATGTGCGGTTATTACGTACGGTTTTCCCTGTCGACCATTTCCCGCAAATAGATGAGAACATCGAAGCGTCAGTGCTATGAAATGGTGTTATAAATAGCGTGTTTTGGAAGTTTTTGTTGAAACTTCTCCAAATCCCTCCAGAGGCGTGCACGTCGCGGAGAAGGCACACGGTAGGTCAAGGTCAAGTCATCTCAAGTACAAGAGGTGATTGGTTGGCCTGTCGTGATTTACTTTGGAGGTTTGGCGCTAATGAATGCCGTTTTTGTTGTCGTCAGGCAGGAAGTTGATGCCTTGACGGTATTGTTGTCTCCTTTACCACCAACGAACGAAGAATGGGCTACCAGGAAGATTCTGCTTGAAAAAGACGTCCCCGATGCTATAATCTCGGACATATGTTTATTCCGGCGCCGAGTATAAATAAACTTAAAACACACACACTTTTGTTGAAAACAAAACAAAAAAACAACAACACATTTTCTGTAGTAATTTTTCAAGTGTTGTAAAATGAAAACGAAATTCCTCTTATGCCGCCGATTATTTTTAGAACACAAACATATAAGTTCTTTTGATTTGATTTATTCAAATAAACATTAATCACTTCAGCGCGCGTAAATATCGTTTTCAAATTAAAG